GCATTAACATTTTACAACAAAAAAAACACTTTTTTACCCTCCCTGTTGCAGCAAACCTAAGTACTCATTAAACTAATTCTATTTAATTAGGGAATAAATGTGAAATTTTTAAGGATAAATTTGAGTGCAAATCCAATGACGCAAATGGAAATTAGCTAATTCTGCAGGTTTGCTGTGATGGGGGTATTTTAAATATATAATCGTCCCGGGACTTTTATGAATATTACGTATCTGTTAGCACGATAACTCGAGCAAAAATAATCCGAATTTGATTAAATTTGGCACAAACGTGTAAACCTACATTAGTTCGAACGAATTCGGGAACCAGCATGATCGGACATACGGAGCGGGCATTTATGGGGTGAAATTGGTTTTCCCCATTTTGAATCTAAAAACATAAAACTTTCAAATTTATTTCCAAATCATTTTAATGGAGCTTAAAAAAACAAGTCATATAGTCATATATAGTACATTATAAAGTGTAATAGATATTAGTATATTTAATATATTATATTATAGTATATAGTATATTAAAGCATTGTTACCAAAAAACGCTAATGGTTACAAAAAAACTGTAAATTTTAAATTCCTACGTTATTCTTGTGTAGAATCAGTAAACTGTTTTAGTTTGTTTGTTTATGAACATATTTTGATTACAATTGGAAAAATATATACAGTAATTATTTAAGCTATTAACATTTCACTAAAAACACTTTTTTACCCTCCCTGTTGCAGCAAACCTAAGTACTCGTTAAACTAATGCCATTTAAATAGGGGCGATTTTTAAGAAGATATTTTAGTACAAATCCAATCAGGAAAATGGAAATTCACTTCGTCTACAGGTTGCATGCGGCCGGGGTATTTTTTATTTATCGTGGGACATTGATGTCAGTTTTGGATACTTCATTATTGTTAGAAGGGAAGTGTCCAATAGAGAAAACGTTGAGTAACAACCTTGACAGAGTCGGCGAAGGAATGTGCGAATCGCATTAACCATCGTTATAGTCTGTTTCAGACCTGTGTTGTGTTTACAGTTCCCGAGAGTTAAACAGAGCAATGTGTGTGTGAGCAATGTGTGTACAATGTTCTCTTAATAGTCATCACAATCGCTCAATCGTGTTTCTTGAATCAAATTGAAATTCATAAAAAAAAATAATCTTGTGTAAGCATAATTCATAGCAGCAAGCATCACTCATTGAACCGATGTTATTTATTTTATAAAGGGTTATCTACTTATTTATTTATTCATGCCAACGGCTTAGGATACAATAAATAATATAACAATGAATAAAGTTAACAAAGAATGTAAATATAACAATAATAAATATAACAAAGAACAAATACAACAATATAGTTATTTGTGTAACTAGTGGTGAAAGTGGCACTTTGCTGCACACGAGAGCAATGTTTACGCACGAGCCGCAGGCGAGTGCGGAATGATCTCGAGTGCAGCAAAGGCCTTTTTCACTCGTGTTACACATTATATTTTTCCTACAGTCACCCGACAAAGTTGGCTTCCTTGTACTGTTTATAGTACAGAAAGCTGCTAATTGCTGCATATTTATACTTTGCCGTACGGTTTATACTTTGCCGTACGGTTTATACTTTGCCGCACATCAGGATTCCAACGAAACAACACAAAACAGCGTGGTTCTATTATGCACGTAATCCGTGTACGCTTGGAAATAGGTTGGCAACACTTAAAGATAATAATACTATGAGCAGCTGATTGACTATTATAACTACGATTTAACCTGTCATTTCGTGTTTATAGTTTCGGTATTTCTGAACTAACTGCACTTTTCTTTTAAACGTTTTTAAAACATTCCTACGATCTTAATAAACAAGAAAATACCTTTAAAGCATTTTTTTTAGGCGCGGAAACCACTTGAAATTACAAAAACATACGGAACTATATTCTCAAAACGCGGAGCACATTTCTTGCCGAGGAAAAATAGCGGAGTGATACGGACCGCGGGTACTACTTTCTCTAGGCACCATTTGTGTTGCCAGCTGAACCTAAAAACGTGTTGTAAAGTGTTTGAAAGACTATTATTTATATGCTTTATAGTGACTGTAGGAAAAATATAATGTGTAACACGAGTGAAAAAGGCCTTTGCTGCACTCGAGATCATTCCGCACTCGCCTGCGGCTCGTGCGTAAACATTGCTCTCGTGTGCAGCAAAGTGCCACTTTCACCACTAGTTACACAAATAACTATTTTTCCTACAGTCACTATAAAGCATATAAATAATTAGTCTTTCAAACACTATACAACACGTTTTTAGGTTCAGCTGGCAACACAAATGGTGCCCTAGAGAAAGTAGTACCCGCGGTCCGTATCACTCCGCTATTTTTCCTCGGCAAGAAATATGCTCCGCGTTTTGAGAATATAGTTCCGTATGTTTTTGTAATTTGAAGTAGTTTCCGTTCCTTAAAAAAATGCTTTAAAGGTATTTTCTTGTTTGTTAAGATCGTAGGAATATTTTAAAAACGTTTAAAAGAAAAGTCCAGAAAGTTCAGAAATACCGATACTATATACACGAAATGACAGGTTAAATCGTAGTTATAATGTCAATCAGCTGCTCATAGTATTATTATTTTTAAAGTGTTGCCAACCTATTTCCAAGCGTACACGGATTACGTGCATAATAGAACCACGCTGTTTTGTGTTGTTTCGTTGGAATCCTGATGTGCGGCAAAGTATAAACCGTACGGCAAAGTATAAACCGTACGGCAAAGTATAAATATGCAGCAATTAGCAGCTTTCTGTACTATAAACAGTACAAGGAAGCCAACTTTGTCAGGTGACTGTAGGAAAAATCAATTTCACAAAGTTTATTTGAACAATGCTCACTGATTAGTATATTAACTTGCTTGGAATAATTGTGAATTTCCTTTTATTGTGAACTTTTTGGATAAAAACTCAAAGCTACTACTGGAAATTTACTTAGCCAGCAGGTTTGCTGCCACTAGAGTTATAATATTAATGATACACTGTACGAATTTATGCAATATAGTATGTTTTCTGTTTCAATATTTAACATTCAAAATTAGCCGCAAGTCATCATGTTTTGCAAGCTAATCTTCATCGTGGTATTCTAAATACCAAACGTATACATATAATTTAGATGAATATTAACCATTTACCTAATGGAAAATGAAAACTGTTTTGTATTTCATACTTCTCAGGATACAACTGCCTTTTGATTTGAAGTGAGTGAAATGTTGTGTATAAACAAAGCGTGTGCCTATGTTATTTGATAAAGGTAAATACCTTTATTTATCTTTAGGTTAGTAAATACTAACCTTTAAGATAAGGTTAACAAAGTTTCAGTAACCCACGTTTCTGTACTACTACTCTGACTAAGAAAGCAAACTAAAAGCGCCGCTAAATTAAATATTTTACCAAATAAATACAGAGTGATTCTAAATTGTTGTTACAATTTTGAAACTCGAAAAACCATACAACCTATCATCACGAGCTGAGGATCAATTAAGAGGAGATTCTAAAGTTTTGTTTTATACCACTTTGGTAAACATAGTTGCAAAATTAGCCTCTACAGACGTTTTTAGATTTTAACTATGATTTTAAATTAATTACACACTTTTACCTCTTTAAATTTAAAAACTTCATACGCTACGTTGAACTGTCAAAAGTTTTACGTAATACTGCTATGGTTCAATTAGTTCTATAATTTACTGTTCAGTCATTGTTGTCCGCCTTTATCGTAAGCTGCGAGGAACCTTCAAAAATAAAAACGTGTTCTGTGTTTTATAGTTTAGGACGACTTCAACCATCGAATGGAAGTGAGCTGCCATAGAGCACAAAGAGCATTAGTTTTTGGCCATAATCTTGTTCAATTTTTTTTTATTAAATCACCTTTTATTGTGTACATACTTTTTACGCCACGAGTTTCATAGATTTTAAATTGCATGATCAATTTAAAACCTTAGTTAAAATTAAATAAAGTCTGTAGATGCTAATTTTACTACTATGATACCAAAAGAGTGTCGAACTAAACTTTAGAAGCTCCTCTTTCAATTGGTTTTCACCCCTTGACGATAGATTGCATATTTTAATTCGTTTGATTCAAACGTGCAACAATAATTTAGAATCACACTGTATTTATGCTGGGCTGGTTTTATATTAAATGTAAAAACGTTAAAACAGCAGTTCTTCTAAACGATGTATTACACGGATATTGTATGACATGACAAAAAATCAGTTGTTAAACAGTTCATATCCCGTCGCTGCAAGCAAACGTTATCACAATGATCTATGAACCCACGCGCACTTTGAGCTCACTTACGTCCATACTGGTTTCAGCAAGATTGTCCTGGATCATGAAATGGTCGGGGGCTTGTCCAAATTAAATATATCGCTAGCGAAAGTCATACATGTATACCAATTATGTTCTTGTGAAATGTATGTAGTTCTGAAAATAGTCCATGCTATGAATAGGACAAGCTATAGAATTCCAATGAACTTATAACTTTCTGTCTTAAATAATGATTTAGAATTACAAATGCTCATTTATTGTGATCCTATGGTCGAACTATATCCAAAGCACACTTTTGAATTAATTAAATTCTGAATGATTCAGTTACTGTAATCTCTTAGATATGTAAACTAATCTTTTAAACAACTGTATCAAGGAATCTCATAACTCATACTGAGAAATTGTATAAACCACTTGTTGAAATGAGTGGATTTGTTGGTAATAAAGGAAACGGTTTGTAACTAAACAACAGTTTATTCAAAATTTTACGTAACTTAGTTTGATATATCATAAAGTATATGCGATTCATTATTTTGGGAATAATATATTTGCTTCCGTCCTAGAATTATTTGTGATATTTTATTGCGTGTGTTTAGAAAATAGTACAACTTCATCAACACTCACTGTAAACTGTTAGGAACTGATATCCTTTATATTTTGTATTCTATTAAATGTCTCTTGATAGGTACCCATTTTGGCAGTTTTAATAAAAACCCGTTTAAAATAGAACAAAAATAATTTATTAAAAAACTCTACGTCATTACAATTTACTTAGTGTCGTCTTTCAGGTCCCATCCAGCGTTGGGCATGAGCATAACTGAAACAGAGAGAACATCAAGTCAGTAATTTGCAACACAATTAGAGATTAAACAGGGTAGAACTATCTTTAGTCTTTCGTAACACAAAAAGTGTTTGCATTAAAGTAGAACCAAATGTGCAGATTCATATGGTTATTTTAATAAACGTAGGAACAATAACGACTTACCCAAGGTCAGGGTTGAGGAAAAGGTCAATGAAAACTTAATCAATGCTACGTGAATCTCCCATCGACAAAATATTGTTTTCCTGTAAGATTATAACTTGTCATGTCTGAACTCTTTATAATATTCCAATTTTACGTCTGATTCAACAAACTTTTAATAATGGTTTTAATAAAGCTGTAATCAATCACCAGTTTACACAACATTAACACTAACTTAAATTAATTAAGTAAATAAAAAATTTAATGTGATGCAAAGTTATTTTGTAAATAATATATTTTTGCTTGCGTCCTAAGAGTAAAAACATCAATTTGTATTATCCTTACTGATGCCTGTACCGATCGAAACATCCGATTCTTAAGTTTGATTTTTTAGAAAGGATATTTTAGATTAGGAAGTGTCAATAAGGTTTTATTTAAACATACGTGAGTTGAAACCATATTGTACTTGGTAGCATTAATCATTACGATTACAGTATCTTACAATTACTCACTGTTCACGGTTACTCAACTCGTCATTATATTAGTTAATGAGAGAGATACTCAAACAAAACTCAACAAACAAAGTTAAAGATAGACAACAGAGAGATTTGGAAACTAAACAGGCAGTTATCATGGACTCAAATAATATCTGAACTTGACCTAGCTTGTAGCCATCTTGGATTCATCAAGGTTGATATTGACAAATCTTTAACCTCTGACGTTCGCTCGTAGTAAATACAAATATTCTTCTTAGCCAACAGGTTGAATATTTTTTTTAAGAGAGAGGAGGGAAAATGCTTTTACGCACACAGGTAGCCAGCCTGTAGTGTGAGACTCCTGAATCTTGAATAATTCCTGAACAGGTTGTATAATAATTGGACGACTGCTTAAAGAATATATAAGCCTGGGATATTGGGGTAGTTGTATTTGTTTGTTAAAGTGCAATATTATGTTGTGGTCTGGGCATGCTCAAGGAAGAGTTGCAAAAAAAAAACAGTTGTTTGTCATCTACAAATCTTAATCAATAAAACAAAACTTTTTGTGTCAGTTTATATTTTTTGAGCTAATTGTTGATAATTTGTAAAACTTTAATTCGTGTAATTTGAATTAACATGTCCTAAGTAGGATGAAGAATTTATAACTACAACATATTCTCAAATATTGTTCCCAAACAATGTTGTTACAAGGTATAATATGAACAACGATTTTAATTGATTTAACATGATTTTTTAGTAAAAACTAATAATTAATTTCGAGTAGGCCTACATACTGTTTTGCTATTACTTTTGAATTGGATCAAGTTTACCTCAATCACTCTCTGGATTTAGCATTAGGTCAAACATTTTTATTTCACTATTATCTTTGATTACTGTAAATAGTCTTCTTGTTCAAAAATCTATGCTCTGATGTTGCCTAAATGTTTCCCTTTATTTTAGGGTGTAAAGTGTCTTTACTGGTTAGTTATAATACTCGGAAGCAAGCAATAATTGGAAATGCACAGTAAATTAAGTTAATAAGTTTGAGAAATTATACAAAAATAAATAGTAAACAACAAATTGCACTCTGCATAACTTGCTTTAAAATGATCTCCAGGTGACAATAAACCTATAAGAGAATGTGTTTTAATCCATAGTTCCACGTTCACAGTTAACAATAAAATATATATAAAATTTAACACACCCTATATCCCAGCTAAAACGTTGTTAAAGCTATATTACTGCAAACTTGCATAACACAATATAAACGCCTGATTTTATACAATATAGTATATTTATGTTTTTGGTAGAAATTAACTGAGATAATAACAGAAACCCTCATTTACAATGCTTTTGATTATAAACCAACCATCAAAGAAATTCTTTGTTTATGCGTTAAAACGAACAGTCAGACCCATTGCCTTAACTGATACAAAAAAAATAGTTTCACGACTTTTCGGTTTTAGATCTCAGACTCCGATGGCATTCCTAGATTTCTAGTTGAAATCAATCTTTTATAATTAGTTGTTTATTTCAAGAAACTGTGCCTATAATATTAACTACCTGAAGAGGAAACTTGGAAATTATTCGGCTAATGGGCAAGGATAAAGGATATGAGTAAGTTGGTAACATTGTTGAAAGTTGTACCTAAGGTCATGCTTGCAAGACGACGGATGATTGCCTAATGAGAGTCTACTACGTCATTTATACTGTGTGACAATCCTCATACTTCAACCCACATTATAGTGGAACAGCGGATGTGACGACTTTGCAACTACAGTATATATTACAAGAATATAGCCCCCAGACTCAACCAACAAAAATATACCAAGTTTGGAGTTGAAACTTAAAAGTAATCATAGCTTGAAAGGGTGATTTACATTGAAAATTTATACATTGGTGTGTGTGAAGTGCGACAAAATAAAAAAAAAACATAATAACTGCATCGACTGATAAATGTGTACTGACTTAATCTTTATTTTTTGATGGTCAAATGCTATTTTAAATACTGGTATATTAATTCACGATATTAATCCTTTCGTCACCGCCTATAGATATTGGTACAACTCTAGCCTACGTCGAGAACTTTTTGGGTATGTTTACATTATGTAATAATGACCTATCGAGATATTTCTTAATCGCTGATTACAAATACAAACGTATAATAACACTTTCAAAACATTCTTACACTCTGTATGCTTTAAATCTCAATTTCACTATCTGAAAACCTTTTCCTAATTTGTTTATTGATGATTAATGTGGTTAATAGAACTATATTTTAAAAGTGCTAAAGATTTTCAGGGTCATTTCGTGTTTTACAATGAGGATAGTAAAGCTTGGTTAAAGGCTGCGGCTTACTAAATGGACTGGGCTGAGACCATGAGACAACAGTTGTAAATAACTGAAACGAGCATATTAATAGTATTTAAATTTAAATTAGTTCGTTCCTTATTATGTCTACTCAATTCTATAACATGTTGGGTTGGTCTTAATGGTTTCTGTTATTTCACCCTCATACAGTCGGACCTCGTTAGTAAGAACTTCGGTAAAACTAATTCCTTGATAAGACGATTTGTTTTAATCCCCTTGAAAAACACCTCTATACAACGTAGTAATCAGGTTGAAATCTTCATAAGACGAACCTGTGACATGGGATAGGACTGATTGACCTCTATACAACGAATATTCTTAGCACAAAACCTCTACAAGACGAATGCGACCTCTATAAGACTAACTTATCATGATCTTAACCTCGATAACCTAACCTAACCTAGACTACATTTCAAAACAAACAGAAGCTTGTCTCAACATAAAACCCCCACCCATCCCTCTTCCTTCATCAGTTCGTTCTTCGTGATGTTTCAATACAGAGAGCTGAAACCCTACTGGACTGAGGCTGTAGGACTTAGTCCTCTTCAGCCAAGTCCATCAGTTATTGTCTCAGAGCGAGGAGAAACCTCATACGACGAATAACGGCAGTATTAAACCTCGATAAAACGAACCACTTTATTAATAACACTTCCATAAATGATTTTTCCCCTACCCCTTGACATTTCATTCTCTTATAGAGACTCGACTGTATTTCGAATAGAAATATTCAGAAAATAACCCAACAACAATGAAATTACAGGCTGATAATTTTTTAACCACAATAATATCTTGCCTTCGAAATTTAGGAAAATTGGCCACTTCATCTTGACGCTCTCTCTTGGCATCTCAATAATTAATGCTTATTTTTAACCTTGGGGATTAAATCTATGTCTAAAAATAATATAAATCAATTTAGGAACAGCAAATTTCCCTTCATTTTGATCTCAATTAGGTCAACAATCAAAAACCATTGTCAGTATGTTCAGTACGTTCATACTACAATTTTCAAATTGTTGTATGGACTTCTTCTATTAAAAGAGTTTTTTGTAATATTTGTTTTCATATACGTTTCCCATGGTAAAAAATAAAATTTGAAAACCAATAGCATGAAGTGGAATGGTTTACGCTTTAAATTTGTACTTGATTACTCCAGACATCTCTTTGTTTCACAGTTTGATTTTGATTAAATGCTGTAACATAATGGGTAGAATAATATGTATTGATTAATTTTTAATCTTAAATTTTCCCGTAAAATAGCCCTTTTCTCTAGTTAATATAAATGCGAACAAAAGCTTCCAAATAACCAAATTACTATTAATTATTATAAATTGCAAAAAAATACTTTTTCATGAAGCAAATGAATAAAAACTTGCCTGCCTTTTCAACAATGAATTTTAACTACTGTATTAAATTGCTAGGCCTATACATTTTCAATATTGATTTGTTAAATATTTCTCAAAAGTAATACACAATTTCTGGTCAAATATTTTCTTATAAAGCTCACAGTGTTAAGACAAGTTCAGCGGATCCAAAAAATGTTCTGCTAGATTATAATATCATGTATAGCCGTTGTTTGTTTTCTCAGATACAATATGTAACCAAACAAGCTATACATCTAATTATTATAGTTATCATTAATTTTCACTTCCACGATATAAAGAGTTTTATATTTCAGTAATTTAATATCTTTATTCCTAATACTTTAAAAAAGTATAAACTATGTAAATGGGATCAGCAAGCTATTATAATACGATGTTGAGAAACAACACTATTTTCGTTGTTGTTGATAAGTTATAGCGAATTTATGAAATATAAAATAAAATGGGTCGAGTCTGTTGTTATCACATAGATATTTAGCCACATTCCTCACGACTGTTTAGTTTATTTTTATTTCTACGTGATCTGATACGCACAGTTTACTTTATAATAAAGTAATATAGTATTCTGACTATATAGCAATAATACTACTCCTTACATTGGAGGGAATTACAATATATTAGTTCCATATGATTAGTAAATACTAAATGTAAATGTTGAATACATAAATGCAATTTGAATATTAAATCACCGTCTTCTAATATTTCTTTTTAACAAAGTTCTAAACCTGTTTGTCATCGCTTCACGCTTATTTTCCTGAGCAAGGTCAAGTAGGCTAATCAACTGTCAAGAGAGACAATCATTGCCAAAATCGACAATTGGTTTTTGTATATTTAGTTTGTTGGCCTAGGGTTGTCCAACTTTATTACAAACTTTTTTTAGTTAATAAATAGATTTGTATACCGTCAGTTTAAGGGACACGACATGTTTATTTGTTTACAGTTGTAATTGTGTGAAATAAAGGGATTTTGAATGTTGAATTTTTACAACTGGGGATAATCATGAAGAGAGTGTAGAACTGCATATACTCACAAAGTTTAATATCACAATGACGTCCCAGCAGAGACGTGAGAGGGTTGTGAGCTCGTCAAGATGAAGGAGCGGGGGTGGATGTACTCGTAGCGTTGACTGTGGTGGTGTTGAACACGGGGATGACCGGGGGATGGTACGATATGAGGGTCAGGTTGGCCGCATCATACACATCCTGGTGGTTGCTGTACTCGTCTATCTTGGATATCGTCGTGTTGAGAGTGGCGAAGGTACTGACAGGTGCACTGGGGGCTCTACACATCTTAATCACCACACAAGGCTTGTATCCGGTACGCTTGAACGGACACGGCTCCGTGGTGCACTTGTCCACCACCTCCACTGCGGGGAGACACATCTCGACCCAGGAGCAATTGACCTTCTCACAAACCGTCGTGTTGACCACGGCCGCCGCTGTTGTAGTGGTGAGGTCCAACGTGGTGGTCTCTGGCACAGTTGTCGTGGTGGCTTCCTCGGTCTTGTTGGCTGTTTTAGTCTCGTTGCTGGACACGTTCCTGCAGACAGTTATACTTTCTGTCATCACTGCGGACACTGTAGGTGTGACGAGATGGCCGTTGGACGATACTGTAGCGTTCTCACCCTCCAGACACAAAGTCACTGTTCCACCATGCATCGTCTCCACGGACGACACATTGGTCCTGGTCAACACCTTGACTGCGGTGCACGCCTCCGCTGTACACGCCATTGTCGTCACCCTGACCGTGTCGTACTGGAAGTGGTCGGTCGTGCACGGCGTGACGGTCATGTTATTCAGTAGAAACACAGATGTGGAGGAGTTGTCCAAAGAAGTATTCGATGACTTGATGAAGGTATCGAGCACGCGATGGTTGTAGCTGTGTCCGTGGCCACCGAATCCTCCGTATCCTCCGCCGAAGCCTCCGAAAGGAATCGGAATAGGAATAGGTATCGGGATCGGCAATCCTCCGAATCGGCTCTTCTTTTGATATCCGTATTGACCCGGGTAACCACCCCCTCCGAAGTATCCAGGGTTGTTGCTGTAGCCGAAGTTGTTGGGGCTGTAGTACGGGTTACCGCTGTAGCCTCCACCTCCAAAGGGACTTCCTCCGTAAGAGTTACCTTGATAGGTGTTAGGATGATATCCTCCTCCGAAATTAGACCCTCCTGCGGGGAAGCCTCCTGGGTACGGCGAGTTTCCGTAGCCCGGATACGATCCGTAGTTAGGACTACCGTGTTGGGTCTGGTGAGGGAAACCGTTACCAAACGGTTGCTGCGGGTAGTGCTGGCCATTCGGTGTGTATTGCGGCGGAGCGTTCACTGGGCGGCCGGGGTAGGCTGGAGGATGGTCATTACCCCCGAAGTGTGTACCCGAGTGTGTTCCAGGGTACGCAGGAGGAGGTCCCACCGGGCCCGGGGGGGCACTGGGGTTGTAAGGGTTCTGTCTGTTGGGAGTTGGGGAATTAATTTTGTCGAACCCTATTTGATGACCGCCTTGCTGACCCGGAGTACCGAATCTCTCGAACCCTACAGGGCCAGTGGTCTGGGGAGGGTGAGGGGCAGAATTACCGAAAGGGTTGCCACGGTTATGAGTCGTCCCACTGCCACTACGCTCCGCGTTGAGGAAGGTTCCACTGGAGCCGCTGCCGTGGTTGCTGGTGTGTGATGGTGGCGGTGGCGGTGGAGGTGAAGGGATGCGATGTTTGCTGGACGACGATCCTCCACGACGACCACCTCCACCGAACCCGAACCTCTTACCATCCACTAGCACTAAAACACACATGCACACACACACGCACCATGATGTCTTCATCTCTCGCTGTCACTGTACTGGTACTGATACTGATGGCTACTGGCTACTGACTGAGGTTGAGGTTCCCCCGCCCCGCCACTAACCTTGGACCGCCCGCATCGCACGGTCCGCCGCACTCTGCACTGCCTACGTCATCGCTCTCTGATGATTTCTCTGTTGACTTAACAGCAACTCTCTCTTCTGTCACGAGCGTCGTCTAACAACATGGTTCATTACAACATGTCGCTAAGGGCTATTGTCGTTTTAGTGCATTATTGGAGTTTAAATTATTATACGTTATAGGGTTTTCTCTGAACTGTGGCTGTATCATTTGCAATTACAGAACATAATTTTATCCCACGAAATAATATGCACATAAGCGATTATCGATTGATTTTAAACCTCTTTGCTTTCACTGTAACTTTTGAAAAGTCCTTTATAAAACCACGAATACTAGAAAAATACCGGTATGGATCATAAACATAAGCAAATGACGTTTTTGGCCAGAAAGTAAACAAAACCCCTATACTAATAGGCCTAGCATTAATTAACATATGGTTTTGTTTAGCCTACTTTCGGGCCAAAAACCTCATTTTGTTTTATGTTTATGATCCATACCGGATCTCTTGTCATATTCTTACTCATACTCTTAGTCATACTCTTGTCAGATCTCTCTACTCATACCATTATCTTCTTGTACTAAGTATTCATGAATCACCTAATCGCATGAGTTTGTCATTAAGATGTAAGCTTAAATTGTGATTATTATTTACTTAAAAAAATGACAATAATAAAGCTTGTGTTATACCATACGAAAGACGCACCTGGAAAATAAAAAGTTATTGAATAATCAAAAGTCACTTATACAACTTTCTTCGGACATTTGTACAGACATGAAAATGTAATTAAATTCATGTTAGAACCCGAACTGGTCTTTTGAGAATTCGTTAAATTTAATTCAAATCACTGGAAACTGTTGATTTTAGAGATAATAACGTATAATTTGGACTCTCGAGTCTTACAAATTGTAAACCTTATGTGTATTTGATAGATCGAACATTTTCTACCAAACATATCTGCTAACTTAAACTTGTCAGACATGTATCAATATGTGCATTTATTATGTTTTTTATGTTAACTTATTTTATATTAAAAATCCTATTAAATCGTCTGAAATAACCGGGCCTGCTCTCTTTGACCACAGAAAACCTACTACTATGCTTTGACCTATATAAAATTATGGGTACGGTAATCCGGCTTACGTCGAGTTTTAAAGCAAAGTAAGCACACGTGCTTAACTACAACTAATCACTATCAACCTGAACCTAGATAGACTGGACTACCAACTTCAAAAAAGGTGTAAATAGTATTCATTTAGTTATGATAATCTCAAAATTGTGAAAATTTTGATCTTGAGCTCTTGACGACGGATTGTTGCTTTAAAGAAAGAAATATTGAACCATCGTATGGTAACATCGTTTTGTATCTTAATTAACAAATTCGTACGAATTTCGCAACATTCACATCATAGCAAATGAATATACAGTACCACAAAATAATTTTGCTTTTTGGAAGCTATAGAGTTTACATTCATCCAAATGTTTTATCAACCAACAACAATGCTAAAAACAAAACACAATGTTAAACAATGTTTTGACAATGTTTAAATACACGTATCAACCTTGTAACTTTAAACATCAAGCATACCTCATTTGCAGATCCACGCCACACAGGTTCACTGTCTCTCTATGATGGAAACACGGTTCTGCAGAATCCGTTGTAGTCGATTTTCTGTCCAGAGAAGCACGGCGGCCTAGAAAACACCACAGTGCGTTCCTTCTTGAGGGTATGAAGTCCAAAATACTTCGGGGGTCTTTTGACCTCAGCCACGTTAGTTTTGGCCCTCTGAGCAGTCCCTTCTTGCACCTTCTTCCACTTGTCCGATCCGTATATTTTTGGCTCCTTCGATCGTACCACCCCTTGTGGAACAACGCCGATTTTTAAGTTAGGCAAATCAAAAAAGGAGGTTTGCTTTTCATTTTTTTCCTTAGACGCCCACGGCAAATGACCGCGCGATCCTACTGATAACAACAAGACTATAACACTTAACTTTAGCCACTTGCACATAGCCTCTACGAACTGGGCGATATGGAAAAGCTGTCTATTTATCGCCGTATCTCAGCAGCGAAGTTCATGGTTTATCGCACTGACACAACTCCTAGCAGATATATCTCGCGACGCACTTGACTTTGTTTTCTACAGTTTCGACAACAACATTTTCCAAATCATCTAGCTGAATTTCAAATTGTTTTCTTTAAATAGACCCTACAGAAAAAACAATGCCTTTTGTTTGTGCAATATTATGAGGTAAGTACGTACATCGATCTATATTAATTAATAGAGATCGATGGGTACATACAGTATAAACTATTCAATTCATTATGTAATATACAGGGCTATTCAAAAATATGGCCCCAACTTCATGACTTTCTATCTCAAAAAGTATAAATCGGATGGACATAAACTTTATACCAAAAAGATAAATTCCATGCTAGCAATTAGGCCTACAAAATCGCCGAATATAGGCGAGCTATGGCGAGCACGATAGTGTACCCGGTCTGCTCGTGTAAGCTCGGGATAGTTCGCCTCGCCATGAATCGTGTTTGGTTAAAGATCTGTTTATAATCATATGTCATTATTATGTTATTATTTTTATTGTTTACATTTGAATTATTTACAAGGTACACAGATTTAGTTCAGATAATAAAGATACTTTTGTTAAATATGAAATACCCCCGCCGCAGCAAACCTGCAGACTAAGCGAATTTCCATTAGCCTGATAGGATTTCACATTAAAATGCCTCCTTAAAAATATTATTTTTATTCCCTATTTAAATAGAATTAGTTTAACGAGTACTAAGGTTTGCTGCAACAGGGAGGGTAAAAATGTGTTTTTTATAGTAGTTTAGTAAGAAATGAATGTATTTTCCAAATTCGATCAAAATATGTTCATAAACAAGTAAATCAAATCAAAATATCTTTATTCGTACAAGACAAGTACATGTTAGTAAATCTGAATAGTGCCAACTTAGCTATTTAAATTAACATTTGCTTAATTATTCATATACTCTTCTATGGAATATAATACTTTGCAAACCAAGTAAGTTTTTAGTTTTAGTTTAAATTTGGAACTGTTTATTTGACACTTTAATTCTTTTGGCAATTTTCTGAAATAACTTGCTCCTTTGTAAGATGGCTTCTTTGTGTAAAATTCAAGTCTATGGTGAGTGGGTATGATTTCATTCTTTTTTCGCGTGTTGTAATGGTGTGTTTCTTGTTCTAAAATTGTATCCTTCTTATTGTTTAAAAATATCATAATAGTGTCTAAAATAAACTGACCATAAACTGTTAATATGTTTAGCATTTTAAAATGTTCCCTGCATGATGTACCTGGATGTAGGTTTTTTATTATTCTAATCGCTTTCTTTTGTTCTTTAAGTATTTTATCTAGATTTTCTAATTTAGATGAGCCATACAGACAAATTCAAAATGAAATGTGTGAATGAATGTATGAATGGCAAATAATTTTAAGAGTGGATTCACTGCACATCCCTGCCATTCTTCTTAGTGCGTACATGCCAGAATTGATTTTAGCTAAAATGTTGTCTACATGCTTATTCCAATCCAAGTTATTATCTATTGTTAGACCAAGAAATTTTGTACTTGTGACAAGCTCAATGGCTGTTTTAAATGAAATGTAGTTAGTTTTCTCAATATTTAAGTGGAGGTTGTGATTTTCAAAAAAAGTAATCATATTTCCTATTTCAGTGAATGATAAAATTTCTACCTGTTCTAAATTATTACCAGATACTTTAAGATTTGAATCATCAGCATATAGGCAGAGGTTTGTGTTATCTGAGTTTGATAATGATTTAGAAATATCTTTCAAATAACATATAAATAAGAGTGGTCCCAGCACAGATCCCTCAAGCACACCAAATTTTACTGGTTTCAATTCTGATTTATGATTTATAATTCTATTGTTTTTGGCTAAATGAGTAATCTGAACAAACTGATATCTATTATTTAGGTATGAACTAAACCAATTCAAGGAATGAGGATCCAAGCCGAGTAATTTTAACTTAGCAAGAAGAATTTCATGATCCACAGTGTCAAAAGCCTTCGACAGGTCCATACAAAATTCCAACACATGGTTCACCAGCATCTATTAAGTCTATCACTGATTCAATAAAAGAAACACTAGCAGTTGTCACTGATTTCCCGCTACAAAACCCATGTTGGGAGCTATCCACGAGATGGTGTTCTTCAAGAAAATGTGTTAGTTATATGTAAACTGCCTTTTCATAAATTTTAGATAAAGTTGGTAATAGAGATAGCGGCCGATAATTTGATGGATTTTTTCGTCATTTTTTTTATGTATGGGAATAATTTTAGCTATTTTTAATTGGGTTGGAAAATTTCCTGATATAAAAGAAGAATTAACTAAGTGGCATAAAACTTGACCAAGTTCAAATTTTACTGCTTTTAGCAAAATAACAGGGATACTCACTCCTTGCTTTGCTGTAAACGATCCACGCACGGGCGCTTAGTCTATGTGGACGGGCAAATGCAAGGTTAAAAGAGGCCGCCAACCTCTTTTTTTTAAGAAAAAAAACAGGTACAGCAAGATTCACCGACGCTTCCAACAAGATTACTTTGGCAAACTTCTGACCATCATACTTGTATATATTCAATCGGCATGGTCCAAATCGTGATACGGGAGCTTGATGAGGGAACTCATAAAATATATCAAAAAGGGTGAGCCACGCTTGCTGTGAGCTCTTTAATGACTCTTTAGTTAGAAATCTGTGCTAGTAATGATTCCGGGGTAGCGGATTCTTATCCCTCTGGAATTTTACCCCCTGGCCAAACGTGACGTCACAAACCAGGGGGTAAAATTCCGGCCAAATCCATTGAACTGATGTCGCGAAACTCAAAGTTCGCGACATCAGTTCGATGGATTAAACGTATATTTTCACGGTTGTGAATTTAATCAGAACACATCAAATTATAAAAACCTAGAGTG